AAGGAAATCTCCAGGTCTTTTCTGTGCTTAGCACTATTTTCTTTGGTGTCTTGAAGTGAGAAGTAGTCATGTCTGGTTATGATTCAAGACCTAAGGGAAAGATGAGGTCATTTCTTTAAGAAAGGACCATGGATTGTTTAGTAGTCTTGAATCCCAGAGATGTTTATTGCTTTCAAAGTTCAAGCAAAACCAACACTTTCGTTTTACACAGATGACACTGAGGCACAGAAATGTTGGGCAACTAACTGTTGATACATGGCTAGATGGTGGCCTCGAGTCTTGATTCCATCCATGAGAAGCAGAAAATCCTGAGCCCTGATCAAATTGCCTGGCGTAGCTCCTACACAGACCCACTTAGAACCCAAACGAAACTGATCAAAGACTTTCTCTGTGCTTGTCACCTCAAAGAACACGAAAGAGATAGGAGGGTTTACCAAATCCTTTCTTCTCTCTAGTCTTGTGATTATCCTTCCTGACTGACCCAGAATGAGAAGCTCCAGGAAATCTTGAAGAACATTTTGCAGAGGATGAAACTTGAAGAGGAGAGATGGAATGGGCTGAACTTAAAGAAAGATGCAAATAGGTTTGTCATTATTAAACATGAGAAGTCCCACTGTTTATACTTTGTTCTCACTTGATTTCTGGTTTTCCATAGTGGGGCTTTATGCATGCTACACAAGTGCTGTATGACTGAGCTATACCCCAGTCCTAAAGATAGAGGGTTGGTTTTTTGTTTGTTTGTTTTTAAACAGAGTCTAGATACATTTAGGTTCCTAGCAACATGTAAGGTAAAATTTTATTTTTAAATCATTTGTATTCATCAAAATTGAGAGCAAAACTTCTCAACTAGAAGAGTCTGTCCTTTGATGTTAAGAAGCTTCCTGCCCTTAAAAGTTCACCTAGCAGATCAGCTCAGAGGCTTGTGTATTTATTTGGCTTTATCATAGCCTCTGGACATAACCTTTCTTTACTAAGATGAATTAAAACAACAAGGCTTCTAATTGATTCCTCTCCCATCATTTAGCAATGCAGTTGTCAACCATCTTTGATGAGAACAAGCAGGAGAATAATCCCTGAGCTCTCTGATGCTACTGCACAAGCAGTTCCCTGCTCCTTCAGGTGGGGGGGGGGGTATGCATTGTGATAGATGAGATTGACGGGCTAAAGTCTGGCAATCAAACAGAATCACTGATAAGCAATAAAAATGGCACACATTCTGCTCCTTCTTGGTTTGAGGCAAAGGCCTGGGGCCCCCTCCCTGCACCTGCTTCATTAGCAGGGCCCTTTTCCAGTTGACCAGTTCAGGCCAGTTTAGGTAAGACCGAGGCCAGACCAGACCTAGACATATCTCACTCACCTTGGAGTTGTGACCTAGGGTACTCTCTTGTTTAAATTGACCAATATAAATTTAGGGAAGGAGAACCCATCAAAAACACTTTAAAAAGGCCCCAGCTTTGAATTTTTCACTTTTTGAGGGAAAGAGCTTGTGGAGCTCTTTCTTTTCTGTCTGTGTGAGTGTGTGTACATGTGTGTTTTTCGATGGTTTATTACCTGTTGCTTTCTACTGTGTCTGGGGTTTTTTGTTTTTTTCCCTGCCTTCTAATTCTTTTTTTGGGTGAGAAAACAAACCGGATCAAGACCCCTAGATGGTAACAAAATGACAGGTGGTCAGACTTATAACCTGTGTATAGCAGGAGAAAGAGAGAGAGAGAGAGAGAGAGAGAGAGAGAGAGAGAGAGAGAGAGAGAGAGACTTATTGCTGGCACCTAGAAATTGAAAGAGGTGCCCAGAGGCACCTAGAAATTGAAAGAGGTGCCCAGACACCACCCAGGTTCATCTGCCATAGTCCAGCTCCAAGGGCAATTTTGTCTTTCTGCATAAAATATCCAATACTTAACTTTTCACATAAGTTATCATATTTTCAATGATATAGGTAATATGTACATCAGTTTTGAAACTCAGTAATAAAAAGACTGTTGCTCCATTGAGATCTTATTGTATTGATTTGATATATGATTTTTACAGTCAATAATAGTCCTTGGTGATTGTTTTCTACAAATATACTTCATTATTTTACTTTTAATTATTTTTATGTATTTTTATTTTATGTGTATGAGTATTTTGCCTGAACGTATGTAAGTGCACCACGTGTGTGTAATGTCCACAGAAGCCAGAAGACGGCATTAGATTCCCTAGAACTGGAAGTTGTTAGCTGCCACATGGGTACTGGGAACCAAACCCAGGTCTTCTGTAAGAGCAGCCAGTGCTCTTAACCACTGAGCCATCTCTCCAGCCCCCTACCTCATTACTTTAAAGAATTGGATGATTTTCATGTATGAAATGTGCATCTTATTTGACTAGTCTCCTACTTATGATAATAGAGGCTGTTTTTCACAGTGGTTGCTTTTATTTGCTACAATTGAAGGCAGTTTATAAAGCACATCAAATTTTATTGTTGTTAGCATTCCTTGTCCTTAGAAAACCTAACTCAACACTAAAAAGGAGAGCCCCAAGAGCAGGAGCCAGATTCTGACTTGGAAGACATCTTGTTCCACTGTTGTGCTTATAATTGTTCTTTGCCATCCCTCTTCACAGCCTTTCAGTCCCAGCTCCTGCCCACCTTCCTTGGCTCAGAGAGGTGGCTGACTTAGCATGCTTTGAATCCAAGTGTCCTTACTGCCAAGGACAGCTCAGTTACGGGTACTAAAATGCCAAAGGGAGGTCACAGACATGAAGCAAACAAGCTTTAGGGTTGTTTTCCCTCACCTGCCAACCAGGAATCGAATTATCTGTATTTAAATAACATAGACATACTAAGGACATTTTGACAGAGTTGTGGCATCCACTGTCAAAAGGCAAAGTGTGGAAACTAAAATTCTTCTACTCTGAGCTCTGGTCAGGACATGTAAACCACCGTCCTGAGTGGTCAGAGAGTTCTTTTTCATAATATTAGAGGACTTCTCACACTAGGTGAAGGCTGTAGCTATGATCCCCAGGCCTGACCACAGGTAAGGTGTTATAGTAAATTTTGTTGCTCATATAAACTCATCTCAGTCAATAGACACAAATAGCCATAAAGGCTGTTCTGTAGTCAAGGAATCCTAGCCCTCTGTCCATTTGACAACGGACAATGTCCAGTATAAAAGATTTACTTGAAACAGATGCAACTAACTGCATTCTAGCAATTTATTTCAGTTAACTTTCAAGTGTGACCTCACGTAAGATCTGACACCTGCCATTCACAATGGGCCTGGGACTTCAAGGTCATAGACAAGGGCCTGGAATGTTGTGGGGCTAAATAAATATTTAGTTGAGCCCCAGCAGAATTCTTAGATTCTTTTCCAGCC